ATAAATTGTCTGTTTTATTCAGAAAATAAAATGATCACCAAATCACTCTCCCCCTCTCCCTGTGAGTAACAGAGGGTTTCTAGACTTTATTTCACCATTTATAACCCTTATATGATCTTCATCTGACCCTATATGACCTTCACATGACCGCGATCTGACCCTATATGATCGTCGTAACATATATATTATACTGCAATTATGATTAAAATCTTATTCAGTGAGCATAGCAATTAGAACATGACAAATCATTTATTGTAATATGAAAATTGAACGGCTGATAAATTGGGAGAGGTGACTCTCATCGGTCGTATTGCTTTTTGCAATGAGAATGATTATAAACAATTAATTGAAAACTGGAATCCCTAGTGAAAATCAACGCTTGGCTCTCATAACATGCAACCCTTGTACTAGAATCCCATAAGATAAAGCGACAGGATTTAATTTCCCCCAACGCTTCCCCAAAAACCACTCAAACACCAATAAATCCCCATAAATTGAGAAATTATGCTGCGTTCCCTATTCATCACCAACTTCAGGTGCTGGGTCAGCTTGTCGATAGCCACCGACACGTCGATATCGGGTTTGTGCTCAACTTCTTGGATACAACAAGGGGTGTAACCCCATGAGCATTCCCATCGACTGCTCGTTCCACCGCTTCTCCGATCAAACTCATATTCCACGAAGTAGGAGAGACAGGGGTTACTGTGACGGAGTAGTTTGAGACTCTATGAATATGTAAACTTTACCAAGCTTTTCCCAGGTATCACTGTGTCGACTAAACACCAAGCGCAGCACGTTGGTGTTTGAACGTACAACCCTTCAAATATTGGCGGTGATAGTATGATAATTTTATCAGGTAAAATAACCGTTTGGGGAGAATATGCGGATCGACCGTTCGATTTTTTCATTTTGCGGAATTTCAAGATTTATGTTTGATCTTTGTAAGCCATGATGGCTTCATTCATCGGAAAAATTCCTTAAATAATTTTGCAATGATCTCCGCATCTTTATTTCAATGACATTGAGAATAAATTAGACTTAGAGAGAAATTTCCTAATTTGTAAAGCATATTTACTTGAGAAAGGAAATTATCTCCAATATTTTAGAGCTTTTGTTTGAGCAGCATTGCCCTTATTTTTCTGATATTTTACAATGATTTTATTATTGAAACTTTGTAAATCTGAATTAAAATCTCAATACTGAACCGTGAGAAAACATTTTTTAAATCTGAAAAAAATTAGAAAGTGACCATGACTAGAAAAATAAGGTTTCCGAAAGTTTAAACAATTTCCACTATTTATTTATGAACACCCAATGTTTAAAAAAAATAGAAATTCTGTGCAAAATGTAACTTGAATGACGCTGAATATTCCTGATTTCTTTCAAATTTTTCTCACGCAATTTAATTGGCGAATTTGATGATTGAAAATGGTTAAATATGAACATGGTCCAGCTAGTTTGCAGGAATCGCCATCAATATTAAATTTCTATAATATTACCAGAATTTCACCCCCACATTAATAAAGGTTTAAAATAGTTGACCCAATTTTTAAAATAGTATAACATTAATAATCTGATTTTTTCGAATAATGATGAATTAGAATTTGTTAATATGAAAATGTAAATTTACCACTAAGTGAATAATTCAAATTCTTTTTGATTTTCGATTACACAAATAATCGTCAATCATCCTACCTCAATTATTGATTAATAAAATAGTTAAAAATTTGAATATTTAAATTGATGGCTCTTAAGTACTCAAAAAATTTAAGAGTGACGTTAACCAATTGAAGAATACAATATTTAACGGTAATTAAATACTATGAATTTGGCGATCCCTGCAAGTTATCAGCAAAACTATTTTGCCCATGTTCTAACGAAGCGAATTTCCCACTCGTTTATTACAAAAAAACCCAATCTGCATAGTTTGACTCCAATCTTCACCTAAAATCCTCCCAAAATTACATCTCACCAACAAAGGCAGCTATCCCCCCCCTAATTCGTAATAATTAAAACCGCGCCCGAGCACCTAGTTTGTCGAGTTACATCAATCGAGGCTTACTATGCTAATAAACCCAGTCAAATGAGGGAGAGAGAAGAACATAATACGGTTGAACGAGCATGATGCTCATAACTCAGCGAATCACGCATCACCATTGCTGAACTGTGTGCGATATTCTCCGCTCCACAACGACCGCGACCCATCTCTCTCTCGTGTACCCACCCATCCTCCATGTAGTGACCAACGCGTGAAAACAAACCCACGACCAAAAACCCCTTCTCCTCCTCACATCCACTCCCCTCCCCCCGCCCGCCCTTCGGCACTCCGACAACTCGGCTACCCTGAAATGCCTGGTTTACGAGAGATTGCCAAGTGGCCCATGTACCCGTTGTACCTACTCACGTTGTACCTGGTATGACAGACGCAGGCATCACCCAAAACCGCCATTTCCCTCGTCGACTATATGCGCTTATGCACGTGTTTATATGTCGACATTTTCAACCTCACTTCGTTTCAATTCAATAGCACCACTTCGAAACTTCACTCACTGGTTTGTCACTGACAAATTGATCGTCAATGTCAAATTCACTTTTCATTGTTTGAGGAGGTGATCACATCGGGAAGAACAGGGATATTTCCTGATTTTTGATTGTGAATGGAAGCATTGCGGAAAAAATATACCTGAATTGGGTATAAAATATATTTCAATCGAGTTTTTCGTTGTCACAAAATATGACGGGATTGACAGAATTACCGGCGCCATTTGCCCCTGACATTCAATAATGCGAATTTTGGGGAAGTGGCAATTGGGGGATGGGTATTTGAATTCGAAGATGACTGTTTTGTATCAGGCCGGGTTGTAGCAGGCCCTCTCAAGAGTAATATAAGGGTCAGACGCAGGCATCACCCAAAACCGCCATTTCCCTCGTCGACTATATGCGCTTATGCACGTGTTTATATGTCGACATTTTCAACCTCACTTCGTTTCAATTCAATAGCACCACTTCGAAACTTCACTCACTGGTTTGTCACTGACAAATTGATCGTCAATGTCAAATTCACTTTTCATTGTTTGAGGAGGTATTCAATGGAATTGCAATTTTCAGATCGACACAATAATGAAAATTATTAAATAATTTGAAAATTCAAGCAATAATTTCCCTGAATTTTTAATCCACTGAAAATTCAGTTGGATCTGATGTTCAATTTCCCCAACGAATTTGAAAATTCTAGATGTGATTGAAATATCACTGACAATCTAACATGAAAAATTCAATTATCCTGAGTTTCCAACCTGAATGAGAGATTCCAGGAACGATTTGATCTTAAATTGAATTCAAATTCACAACATTGAGAATTCAAGTGCAACTATTGCTTAATCTTTAAAAAATTCTGACAGTGTATGTGTGTATGTGAGATGATCTTTAATCAGAAACTACATTTTTCGTGGCAATATTCTCGTCGATAATATAATTTATCAATAATTTAAAAAATTTAATCTCCTGTAAATTTTCGATGTCACAAAATACGACGAGATCGACAGAATTACCGGCGTCATTTGCCCCTGAAATTCAATAATGCGAATATATTTTATCAGATATTGTACATTAACTCGTCAATACTCATTATCCTCGACATTTTAAACCTGATTCACCAAGAATAATGTTTATTTTGTATGCGTTAAAATTAAATTTTAGGGGGAGTATATTTTATCGACACAGAATGTGGATAATCACGCTGGATTGATAAACTCCATTACCCGGGGATGATGATTGCTTCAAATATTTGGTTAGACGTATTCCATTTGGCACGATTACGCCCGCCGGTCGGTGTTTGATTTTCCCTCGGAACTATTTTTTTAACTCTTAATATTTGTACAGCCCATTCGGAGGAAATGGTGGATCCAATTCTCGTTAGGCAAACAATGCGGAGTATTTCATACCTGGGAATAGGCGGATTATGAATCAAATGAAAAAGATTAATATTTAAGTAGCATACACGAGACAGAGTTGAATTTTTCCTATGAATTTATTCAATTTAGTTGATTTAAAATAGTTTATTGTGCTACAAGTCGGTCTATGGAGAGAAATTTTTGATGAAAATTATCCTACTGTTCCATAAAAGTGTATCATGAGTCATTGCTTCCTCATTTCTATCCCGAAATTTAGTAAAAATTAATAAATTTTAGCCTGACACATAATAAATTTTACCCTTCCAGTCCAATCATTTTTATGTAGATAATTATTGGACGGGAGCGCTGCGCGCTGGAGATTTTAATCTGCAAAACTGATCCCTCTGGTTACTATGCAACAAAACATTCGGGAAATATCCAATAATTTTGAATGTCTTTGGGTATTATAGCTAAGTATTTCTCTCCGTGCACCAAGTCAACGAGGAAATCGAGCGATCCCCCCTAGCAATCGAATAAAAGAAAAAAAAATCAGGAAATAATTTCATACCCAATACACCTTCTCCCCCCACCCCGCGATAAAATGACGATTTCTCCCCGCGCATTGAAGTAGTAATAAACCGTTGGATCCCCCTTAATGAAGGAGTTTTTCATCCCAAATTAACGCGCATAAATGCCAGTCATAAACCATCTCTCACTCTGAAACCGTTCAATCCACCTTTTTTTTCACTCTCCTCTTAAACCAGGCGCGATAGACCTGAGGAGCCATCAATCATACGGTAAGAACGACTATCATAGCGCATATTTCACCTGAAAACGTATCAGAGCCGACGACGATTCGACGGTGAATCGTTGTCGGGCGCAAAGTCTCCGGTAATCCTTTACCGAGGCGTCAAAAGTTTATGGGACGCCGTTGAAAAATGGCATTCT